TAAGGCTTCGACTATTACCTAAAAAGTCAGCAGTTCCAACCCACCAGTTGCGCTGCAAGAGGATAAAAAGACGCTGTAATTTTATGAAGGTTGCTGCCTACAGAACCATGTGGGGCAATTCTATTCCATCATATGGGGCTGCTATATATCAGAATCAAGTTGCTGTCATACAAAAACAACAACATTCTTATAGATATACAGATGAAACAAATATATATATATATGCTAGTAAGCACACCCCATGACACTATTTCCTAGATTTTTGCTTTTGAAGCAATTCAAATCACTGGTCTGGATCACTTTACAAATACTGCTTCAAATGATGTCATTCCGATGGCAGTATATTCAGCTTCTACATGTTCTGGGAAAAGTGTACCAGGCGCGGAATTGTTTTTCCCAGACAGTCAGCTCTTCACCTTCTCATTCAGAAAAAAGAGGGGAAGAGATTTCTTAACAAACATCTTTGTCTTTAGATTTTCATCTTTTTTTCTGTTATTACTGGAGTTCTTTTTCACCCAGAACTTAAAACTACTTTTATCTTCCTCACATTAGCAAATCTTGCTTCAAGAACACATACTAACAAACCAAACAACTCTGGACCCTGCTCCCCTCTGCAATCTGCTCGTTGCTGATGTTCCCAACTTCTGATGGTTTTCCTCCCCCAGCCTCACGTGCGTGTCAGAAGTGCTGATTCAGCTGCTTCACCGCGCATTTTCATCTACTCAGCCGCTCGTTCATTTATGCTTCCTTCATTCAATCTGTTGTTGCATTTCATTTATTTTTGCAGGCCAGAAACTAAGTGTTACCGATTAAAGCCGAGTGACAGAAATAGGGTTAGTTTTTAAGACTTGCACAATCTAGTAGAATTAAAAGGTCTATGTACAACTAACCATAAAACAGTAATGTGATCAACGGTATTTAACACATGTGATTTATATATAAAGTTCTGTAAGAACTGAGAAATGGAAAGGCAAGAAATGTTTCCCAAGAGGGCGAATTTCATCTTTGGTATTCAATGTTAGGAGACTAAGTATTTCATAGGCAGATAATAGAAACTATTTCACCTCACAAATAAAATGGAGTAAAGTCATAACTATATGAAAGTACTTAGAACATTTAAGAAAAAGGTAAGTACTCTGTGGGCTATGAAGTATGTTTGTAAGAAAATGGAAAGAGAGGTTCTAAGAAAAGCTGGATATGTTATAAAGGACCAAGGCTTCATTTTACCCACCAGGCAGGTATTCCAGTCGCCCTTGTCCTGGTAACAAATCTCTCCATGCTTGCCAGGAAGCAGGCATCTGATCCCGGCCTGGTCAGTTCAGGAAACAATGCTCAAGTAATGGGCACCCTTCTAAAACAGGGCCAAGAAGAAACCTTCCCTGGTGTTGACACAGTCATTTGAAGAACGAAGTGAATTTTTTCTATAGTCTGGCTAAGCACACTGCCAATGTAATTAAATTATCCACTAAATAGAGACATTTGCCATGCATTTAGAGCAAATGAGTCCAACATGCAAAATGATTAGAAAGCAGAAATGATACAGAAATATAAAATGAGTGTGTTCCAGGGTGCTGAATTTCTGTTTGTCTTTGAGGCCAGGGTTCCTAGGGCAGGTTTTCTACTCCCATGTCTGACTGTCAGCATCTTCTCAGCCACATGAGTTGATGAATTCTTACAGGGCATAAGTAAACTGGAGTTCTGCTATTTCCAATTGAAACAGTTCTGACTAACACATACACTATGCTGAGAATTCTTTTACATATTAAGACAATGGGGAACACAAAGACATTTTAAGATATAAAGTGTTTTTGAGCAAGTGATGGATCAACAGTGCATTAGAAAGACAGCTCCAGTCAGGCCTTGTGAACTCATTTGTTCTCATTCAACTCCCTACTGATCTTTGCATTTCCATTTTGCTTTATAATGTGCATTTTAACAAGCTCTTAGGTAAACATAAGGATCAACTACTGATCTATAAGAATCATCTGAGGATCTTGTTCCAGATTCAGTGTATCTGGAGGGGACTACAACTCCCAGCAGGGATTGAACAAGAATAAACAGGTCCTAAGCCCTGGTTCCCATCGACAGTGCAGAAGATCGATTGGAGGGAGACCATTTAGGCACCTCTTTCAAAAACCTAGATATTCATCCTCAAGGGATTCTAACTATTAAAATAATCTGCCAAGGCCAGCTCATTTGGCATCTCTTCGACAGTGTCTTTTTGATCTTGCTCCGCTGAAATAAATGGCCTTTTGTTTGGAGCTCCTCTTTACATGTACCTGACATGGTGGTTCTCAGACTTCAACCTGCATCAGAGTCACCTGGAGGGCTTGTTAAAACATGAGTGCCGGGCCCTTCTCAGAGCGCCTAATTCAAGGATTTGGTGGGGTTGGGCCTGGTCATCCTAAGAAGCTCCAGGTGAGCTGATGCTGCTGGTTCAGGGGCCACACTGTGAGAACCAGAGCGCTACCACATTTCATTTAGGCCATATTCTACTTCCCATGTACAGAATCCACCTATTTTATGTCAGAAAGTCTTTAATAATTTTCTTATATTTCAAATCATTTTATTGGGGGCTCTTACAACTCTTATCACCATCCATCCATCCATCCTTCCATCCATCCATCCATCCATCCATC